ATCTATCTATCTATCTATCTATCTATCTATCTATCAATCTATCTATGATCAGTCAGTGGGCCTACATAAGGAGTTATGGGTGTGTTATATTGTGCTGTTTGGTGACATGGTGTGTACCGCACTCAACATGGACCAGTTGGACAAATTACTTTAACTCTATTTAGCAATATAATCTGTTATATTTTGCAATAATTTTTTTTTTCTATTTAATTTACTTTGAAAATGTTTATGATTGGTGTAAAATTACTGAAAAGAAAAATATTTTAAGGCACACTTTTTTTCTGTTATTTTAGTGTCATAAGCTCAAGCAGACATTGAAAGTGACTGTGAAACTTGGGCAATGATGAAAAAAATGAAAGGTGTTAGTCATTTTATTCAAAGATGATTAAACAAAGTTTTAATCCAGTGAGAAGTTTATAATTCTCTAGAATTTATATCAGAACAGCTGAATAAAATGTCATATATAGGCTAAATCTATGTNTGAATAAAATGTCATATATAGGCTAAATCTATGTGTAACGCTCTTATTAAATGCGCAGGTCTGACTGCAAGGTTTAATGTTAACCACGTGGAATCAGAAGTAGGAACGGCATGGAGTCATGATTGGGTGGATAATTGAGGCAACCGATGCAAAAAGCTTTGCTTACATTACCATTTATTGCAGTAGAAATAATAATAATACTACTACTACTACTAATAATAATAATAATAATAAAAATAATAACAATAACAGCAAAAACGAAACAAAAAAATAAATTGTTCAAAAGAACCAAGAAAAGGGGGAAAAACAACCCAATAAAGAAATAATACTCAATAATACTTCACAAAACAAATGTAGTTCAAAAGAGGTCCAAGAGCAACGGGAGAACTGTTCTTTTCCTTTGAATACTCCCTTAGAGCTTATTTTGTTTCCTGTATGGAAAGTATTGTTTGGTTTTCCTGCGTGAAAAGTGTCGTGTGGTTTTCCTGTGTGAAAAGTGTCTTTTTTCCTACCACCAGATGGTGTGTGGGTAGCTCGCCATCCTCCGTCATCAAGCAAGTCGATGAAGGGGGAAAAAAAACCCTGACCGTCGCGTAACAGATTGTCTGAGAAGGTGGATGTAACGTCAACTTGTTCTCATCAGAATGGTGTACCAGGCGTCAACAAAGCCCAGCCGCAGATCCTCGAGTTCTAGTTTTTTGTTCAGTGATGAGTTGAGTTGGAGATTCTGATTGTTTTATTAACAACCGACGCCACAACCAACAGTGAGCAGCAGCACAGTGGGAAAAACCGGAAATACACATGAGGGTACCGGAATTTAAAGGGACGGCTTAAAGGGCAGGTGGGTGGGCCATGGTGGTAACGTGGGTTACATATGTCCAATTAAGATTAGACAGGGCATTTAAAAAAGCAACATTTCCTGATGGTCTCTATCCAGTCTGACTGAGCTTCAATTATTTTACTCTAAAAAAATGGGCAAAAATATCAAATATG